AAGGCGCAGGTTAACTATCTTGCGCTCCGCAATGTCCAAGCGCCTACCTTCCCCCCATACTCTATTGCACCACATACATCTCCTTCTCTGTTTCTAAACAAAAACAACTCTCTCCCATCTCTCTAAGGAGATTTCCATTATCGAAAACCAGAGCAGACAGTGAAGGTGGAGACCCCAACAACCGCAATGAAGCCGAGCTCGTCAGAGGCTATGTCTTCCTCCTCTTCCTCCTCCTCCTCCTCCGTTTTCCCTGACCATTCACAGGCAGCCACCTTATCGGACCTTACCTGTAAACCTCTAACATCGATATCGGCTGCGGAGGACTTGGCAGCTGTGGGATCCAGGGATGGCAGTGGTGGGGCCCAAGAAACCGTGACCGTCGAACGCCGAGCGGATTACTCCGTGGTTTGCAGATGGACAGTCCACAATTTCCCCAGAATCAAAGCTAGGGCACTGTGGAGCAAGTATTTCGAGGTGGGAGGATACGATTGCCGGTTGTTGGTGTATCCTAAAGGCGATCCCCAGGCTCTGCCGGGCTACATCTCTATCTATCTCCAAATCATGGACCCTCGCGGCACTTCTTCGTCCAAATGGGACTGTTTTGCAAGCTACCGTTTGGCCATCGTTAACCTCGCCGACGATTCCAAGTCCATTCATCGGGATTCCTGGCACCGGTTTTCCACTAAAAAGAAATCCCATGGCTGGTGCGATTTCACCCCTTCCTCTTCTGTTTTGGATTCCAAATTAGGTTATATGTTTAATAACGACGCCTTATTGTTCACCGCTGATATCTTAATCTTGAATGAATCCGTTAATTTCATGCGTGATAATAACGATGTGCAATCATCTTCATCGTCCATGGCTTCGTCTTCCATAGTTCCAGGCCCTGTGTCTGATGTTTTGAGTGGGAAGTTTACTTGGAAAGTGCATAACTTTAGCTTGTTTAAGGAAATGATCAAGACACAAAAGATAATGAGTCCAGTTTTCCCAGCGGGAGAGTGTAATTTAAGGATTAGTGTGTACCAGAGCTCTGTTAATGGCCAGGAATATTTGTCCATGTGTTTGGAGAGCAAGGAGAGCAAGGACACTGAGAAGACTGTTGTGTCTGATAGGAGTTGTTGGTGCTTATTTAGAATGTCTGTGTTGAATCAGAAGCCTGGGTTGAATCATATGCATAGGGACTCGTATGGGAGGTTTGCGGCGGATAATAAAAGCGGTGATAACACGAGTTTGGGATGGAATGATTACATGAAAATGTCAGATTTTGTTGGGCCAGACTCAGGGTTTTTGATGGATGATACTGCAGTATTTAGCACATCATTTCATGTGATCAAAGAGTTTAGCAGCTTCTCAAAGAATGGGGGTACGATTGGGGGGAGGAATGGGAGTGGCGCAAGGAAGTCTGATGGACATATGGGCAAATTCACTTGGAGGATTGAGAATTTTACAAAATTGAAGGATCTTCTGAAGAAGAGAAAGATTACTGGTCTTTGCATCAAGAGCAGAAGGTTTCAGATTGGGAACTGGGATTGTCGTCTTATTGTTTATCCTCGAGGTATGCTAGATTCTTTGCAATTCGTTTACTTTAAAACTGAGTGTTCTGTTTGATTATCTTAGATTTTGTTACATTTTTCTATAGGTAAAACTAATACTGGTGCTTTTGGCTCTGGGAAGTGACCTGTCCTCAGTCATCTTATTTTGCTGCACTTTCTCTATATCTTGCTGAACTGAACTAGATATGTGGTTGCTGGGTATAATTCTCTCCTGGAAAAGCCTTTTTGTCTTTTAAGCAATTAGGTAGCTTGTGCCACCATGTGTGGTGGTGATTTCAAATTCATTGCTGATCTTTACCCTTGACTCCTTTGAGCTTGTGTTTAGGCAATTGAAATGATAATTAGCTTTCTTGTCTTCAAATGTTATCCTGCAGCTGATTGTCATTTCTTATCAGTTAATTAATACACTCAAAATCATTTAGGATTGTTTTGGTGTGCATGTGAATATTTAGTTTTACAGTGCTGCTTGCATTAAAAAAAATCTAATTATTAAGATAATGGAAGGTGGATTGACAATCATTCAGTTAAACTTAGGAAATTGGACTGATGCAAATTTTCTATATGCTTGATGGTATCAGGGCAGTCTCAGCCACCATGCCACCTTTCTGTCTTTCTTGAGGTCACTGATTCACGGAATATATCCAGTGATTGGAGCTGTTTTGTGAGTCATCGGTTGTCTGTTGTGAACCAAAGGATGGAGGACAAGTCAGTTACAAAAGAATCTCAGAATCGCTATTCTAAAGCTGCAAAAGATTGGGGTTGGCGTGAATTTGTGACGCTTACTAGTCTCTTTGACCAGGATTCAGGTTTTCTTGTCCAGGACACAGTTGTATTCTCTGCAGAGGTACTCATATTAAAAGAGACATCAATGATGCAGGATTTCACTGATCAGGATGTGGAGACAGCAAGTTCTGGTGCTCAGGTGGAGAAAGTTGGGAAGAAAAGTGCATTCATGTGGAAGGTCGAGAACTTCCTGTCCTTTAAGGAAATAATGGAAACAAGAAAAATTTTCAGCAAATTCTTTCAAGCTGGCGGATGTGAACTTCGCATTGGTGCGTGGTTGCCTATTGTCATTTTTCCCTTGGAAATTTGGTTGAAAATTTTCTCCTGACTTAATTGATTGTTTTCTCAAAATGCAGGTGTCTATGAGTCCTTTGACACCATATGTATATATCTAGAGAGTGATCAGTCTGTTGGCAGTGATCCAGAAAACAACTTCTGGGTTAGATACAGGATGGCTGTGGTGAATCAAAAGAACCCAGCCAACACTGTATGGAAGGAGTCTTCTATTTGTACAAAAACGTGGAATAACTCTGTTTTGCAATTCATGAAAGTATCAGATATGTTAGAAGCAGATGCAGGTTTTCTTGTGCGTGACACTGTTGTTTTTGTTTGTGAAATATTGGATTGCTGCCCTTGGTTTGAGTTTTCAGATCTTGAGGTTAGCCTTTTTGGATCTATTCCATCCCCTCCACATCCATTCTAGATGAATTTTGTATATTCTTTGTTTTTTATTTGTTGGAGGCATTTTCGAAATGCAGAATTGTACGGCCAATCCACCTTGAGCTTAGATAAGGATGGTTGTTTCCTTCTATATTGTTTGATTGTTGTTTAGGTACACGCCTAATATTGAGTTCAATGACTCTAAAAAGGAGTAGAAGTGGTCTAGTAGACAAAGTTTCTATGGATCTAAATGGTAAATTGTGCATGTTTACCTGTCCACTAAGTTTAGAACTAAAGACGAAGGACAAATTTTCTGATTATAATTAAAAAAAAAAATGGTAAAAGGAAGCTGAGTTTGTCTGCCTCTTTTTCTGCAACTGAGCCTTTTGGTGTAGTTACTATGTGATGCTGCTGAAAAAATGCTTTCTGCATTGCTTCCTCCATCTAAAGCATTTGTTGGTCATGAACGTTTTATTAGATTGAACCTATCAAAAACTTTAGCTTCGTCATTCTTATGTTTGACTAATTTAGTACAAATAAGATCATGTTCTTTTGCTGGCATTTTTTTTTAATAGGGTTTAATAATTAAAGTGCTTACAAAAAATTAAAATAAGTTGTTTGTAATTTTCCTGCCTCTTCTTTTGCCAGGTTTTGGCTTCTGAGGACGATCAGGATGCTCTTACAACTGATCCTGATGAACTCATTGATTCTGAAGGCTGTGAAGGGATAAGCCGAGATGAAGAAGATATCTTTAGAAATCTTCTTTCTCGAGCTGGGTTTCATCTCACATACGGTGATAATTCTTCACAGCCACAGGTCACATTAAGAGAAAAACTGCTGATGGATGCCAGTGCAATTGCTGGTTTTCTGACTGGACTTCGTGTTTACCTTGATGACCCTGTTAAAGTAAAGCGGTTGCTGCTTCCAACCAAGCTCTCTGGTGGTTTTGATGGAAAGGTCCCAAAGACTGACGAATCTTCCCCCAGTTTGATAAATTTGTTAATGGGAGTCAAAGTTTTGCGGCAGGCAATTATTGATCTACTTTTGGATATAATGGTTGAATGTTGTCAGCCTTCAGAAGGAGGTTCACAGGGTGATTCTCCTTGTGCAAACTCTAAACCTTCTCCTGAATCCAGTGGAGCTGCCAGTGCATTGGAATCTGACAGGGAAAGCAGTGCCACTGAATCTGCACAATTTTCTGGACGTGAGAGGTTGGATTCTGGTATTTATGATGGTAGCAGCTCCTCTGCTGTGCAAAGCTCTGATATGAATGGGATTGATATCACAGAAAAAACAATTCCTGGACAGCCTATGTTTCCACCAGAAACCTCTGCCAGGGGGTCCTCAGAAAATGGCTCCCTTCGCTCAAAGGTATTGTTTGTAATTAGTTGTCAACTCTCTAGGTAAATTATATTCTATTGACCGCTTGAACAAATTCAATTTTCAGACCAAATGGCCAGAGCAATCTGAAGAGCTTTTAGGATTGATTGTAAACTCACTAAGAGCACTAGATGGAGCTGTTCCACAAGGCTGTCATGAGCCACGAAGAAGGCCTCAATCTGCACAGAAGATTGCTCTTGTACTGGATAAAGCTCCAAGGCATCTGCAAACCGACTTAGTTGCTTTGGTTCCCAAATTAGTGGACCCTTCAGAGCATCCACTGGCTGCTTATGCACTTCTTGAACGACTAAAAAAGCCAGATGCAGAACCTGCATTACGGATACCAGTAAGTCTCTGGAAAAGCCTTCATTCTATTATTTAATGGGTGCTTTTGGGTTCCATTTTTAGGGATATATTGAAGCTAATGGGTAAGTTTCAAATTTGAATGTAAAATTGCTTGCACTTATTGTTTTCTTCTTTTTTTGGTAGATTAACTTCTTCATCTTTGATCTCCTAATATCAGTTCTTTTGCTTCAGGTTTTTGGTGCTCTTAGTCAACTGGAATGTGATAGTGAAGTATGGGAGCATGTGTTGTTTCAATCTTTTGAGCTCTTAACGGATTCAAATGATGAACCTCTGGCAGCAACAGTGGATTTTCTGTTTAAAGCCGCATCCCAATGCCAACATCTTCGAGAAGCAGTATGTACAACTTTCTCATAGAATGATATATTTCCATATTTCTTTTAGTCATATTAAACTTTTTTTTCTCTGTAGGTCAGATCTGTCCGTGCTAGGCTAAAAGATTTGGGTTTGGGGGTGTCTCCTTGTGTCCTTGACTTTTTAAGTAACACTGTAAATAGCTGTGGAGATGTTGCTGAAACCATACTTAAAGATATTAATTGGGATGATGATTTTGGCAAGAATTGCTCTCCAATGCCTTGTGGCTTCTTCATCTTTGGTGAAAATGGGGGCAACCCTGACAAGTTGCATATGGTAGATGAGCAGGCGTTCTATGCGGATTGTCATTTTTCTGACATATTTGTCTTGATTGAGATGTTATCCATACCTTGCCTTGCTGTTGAAGCCTCGCAAACATTTGAGAGAGCTGTGGCTCGGGGAGCCATTGTGGTTCAGTCTGTAGCGATGGTCTTGGAAAGGCGCCTTGCTCAAAGACTGAATCTTAATGCCAGATACGTTGCTGAAAGTTTCCAGCATGGGGATTCTTTGGCAGAGGGTGAAGCCAATGAACAGCTGAGAGCTCAGAGGGATGATTTTACTGCAGTTCTTGGTCTCGCTGAGACATTGACCCTCTCTAGAGACCTTCGTGTCAGGGGCTTTGTGAAGATGCTGTATACAATATTGTTTAAATGGTGTGCTGATGAGTCTTACCGAGGTAGAATGCTGAAGAGACTTGTTGATCGTGCCACCAGTGCCACGGAGAATAGTCGTGAATTGGATATAGACTTGGATATTTTGGTAATTTTGGTATCTGAGGAGCAAGAAATTGTTAGACCAGTTCTAAGCATAATGCGGGAAGTTGCTGAGCTTGCAAATGTTGATCGGGCAGCTCTGTGGCACCAACTATGTGCTAGTGAAGATGAGATTATTCAAATGCGTGAAGAGAGAGAGGCTGAAATTTCAAATCTGGGTAGAGAAAAATCTGATTTATCCCAAAAATTGAGTGATTTGGAGGCTGCAAATAGTCGTCTAAAGGTATGTATGGTAATGGTGACAAGGACCTGGAAGTGCTATCTCTTCTAGTATTAACAATTTAAATGTTTTAGGAAATGGTATTTAAATGTTTTAGTATTAACAGTCTAAATGTTTTATGAAATGGTAGTCTGAAATGAGGGCTGAGGTAGATCGCTTTGCTCGGGAAAAGAAGGAACTTTCTGACCAAATACAAGAAGTTGAGAGTCAAATTGAGTGGCTTCGCCAAGAGAAGGATGATGAAATTGCAAAAATTGCAGTTGACAGGAAAGCTCTTCAGGACCATCTTCATGATGCAGAGACACAACTCTCCCAGTTGAAGTCCCGAAAACGTGATGAGTTGAAGGTAGCAAATTATTCAGTTCTTTAACCAATTCTCTGTGTCCTCTTCTGGGCTGTTCTCTGTGTTGCAGTGTCTTACAATTATGTAGAAGATCACAATATTTTATCCCTTTTTAAAACAAAAAACTATATTGTCCAAGGTTTGAGGCATATGACATGTTTAATATGCTTCCCTTCCCTTCCCCATTTGTGGATTGGTGTACGTGTGGGGTTTTAGTGGATGGCGCATTGGTATTCCAACAATGAATGAAGGAACGAGCTATTTGTGGTTTCTTTTGGTTCATGTCTTTTGCGTTGAATGCTATGTTGAAGCAGTTTCTGACAACAATTTTTGAATGTAATAGAGGGTAGTAAAGGAGAAAAATGCTCTTGCTGAAAGATTGAAGAGTGCTGAAGCTGCACGGAAAAGATTTGATGAAGAATTGAAACGGTTTGCCACAGAGAATGTGACTCGAGAAGAAATTCGGAAATCTCTAGAGGATGAAGTTCGAAGATTGACACAAACAGTTGGGCAAACTGAAGGTGAGAAGCGGGAGAAAGAAGCACAAGTTGCAAGATGTGAAGCATATATTGATAGCATGGAGTCAAAGTTGCAGGCCTGCAAGGTTTTTTCATCTTTAGTTTCATTGTCATCATTTCTCTTTTCATTTTAAATTTCTAGAAGCATAATACGTCTTTAATGCATGATCTTATCTTTATCTGCTCTGCTTAATCATTCATTTCTTAGCACTCACAGAACCTGTGAAGTGTGAACTTTCTCCAGTTTGTTGTTCCCTCATCTCTCTTCTTTCTCTCAGAAGCAATTTCTTGTCTTTTGCAGCAATATATTCATACCCTTGAGGCTTCACTTCAAGAAGAAATGTCTCGACATGCACCTCTTTATGGTGCTGGCTTGGAATCCTTGTCAATGAAGGAGTTGGAGACCTTGTCACGTATTCATGAGGAAGGGCTCAGGCAGATTCATGCACTCCAACAACAGAAAGGTAGTCCTGCTGGCAGTCCTCTTGTGAGTCCACAGACCATACCACACAATCATGGGTTATATCCTACAGCACCAGCTCCAATGGCCATTGGTTTGCCCCCTGGTGTAGGGATCCACAGCAATGGGCATGTGAATGGTGCTGTTGGGCCCTGGTTCAACCACACTTGATTTCCAAGGTCATGTTCCTTTGTCTCACGCTTGTTTGTTCACCTGATAGGAGCTGGTGACTTTCTGAAATCACACAACCAATGTTATCTATATATATATTTTTATCTTTGATCGGTATTTTTGACTGGTGGAACTGTTGGAGCACATTTGTTAGGGTAAAGAGGAAAAAGGAGAATAATGGAGGTCTTAGGGTGAAGGACGGGCGGAGAATTAGTGTTGTGGTGATTTGGATGTGCCGCAAGCGAGTCTAATAGAACTAACAGTTGGAAACGCCGTTACCTCTTTTTGCTTCCATTTTTTACGAAGTCAATATAGGCCTTTGAAAAGTTGTTGCTCATTTCACGGTTTTACACCTCTTTCTCGATGCATTTGTTCTTTATATTTATTTATTTATTAAAAGAAGGCATTTCTTTTTTCTTTTTATAAAAAAGGTATTTTTTTATTTTTGTTAAAGAAGCTAATAAGTAAATATTACAAAAAATCTATAAAAAGAAAATGCTCACGTAAATGTCATAACTCATAAAGCATCTTGAAAGCGCAAAAGTTTGTTGCACATTTGGTGCCTCCTCTTTTAGTAAGGTAAAACTTTTTGTTAAGTTTTCAAATTTATTTTAAATTTTTTATTGATTTTTTAAATTTTTATTAAAATAAAAAAATTTTTGAACTTAATAATTTAGATAAAAAAATGTTTTTACGGTGAACTTAATATTTATTTACGTTTTATTTGCGTCGATGAAATATAGTTAAGTTTGCTATAAAAAAAAAAGAGTTATATTACCTAAAATTTTTAAATTTAGGGACTTATTTTCTTCATTAAAAATTTAAAAAATTAATTGAGAATTTAAAGTAAATTTATGGGTTTAACAATAGGGTTTTGTCTTTTAATAATGGGAACTACTTGTAATCCTAGATTTTGTTATGGATGATAATATTTTTGTTGTTCTCATTATTTATATTATGAAAATGTTATAATGTAATCTATTTTGTGTGGATTACACTTCACTTTTTTATTGTAAATTTTTTAATATATTTCGTTATTTCAATTATTATTGTTGATAAGAAAAAGTATTAGGATGTAGGCATCGGATTTTTTCTTTATATTTTACATTTATTATAACAAAAAATAAAAATACTTTTTTTCATATGGATTTAAGCGAGATGGAGAAAGCATGATGATTTATTTTATTTTCTTACCGTCGAGAAAGGATGATGATAGCTGAGGACAATTCTCGAGAATTATTAAATTTTTAAGGGGGAAAAAAAAACATTTTGGTAAATACATATGAGGGCAAATTTGCCAATCGAGTTAAAAACTTTCGTTTTTTCGTGGCAACAACAAAAGTCTTCGTGGCCAAAATGGCAACAACTGGACCCTCAATTTCTTTCCAAATCTCTATTTGGGCTTCTTTAACAGTAAATGAGAACGTGATTAATCATTTTACTTTTCTTAAATATGGATCAAGATAAAGGAGAAGAAATCATGGATCCATCATACATATCTTGACACGTTTGCTTGAAAGTTGGAAACCCCTAATTGTCCACGAAATCAATCCATTCCATGGCATCCAGAGATGTGATCAAGTCCCACCCAACCTTCCTTAATCTCCATTTCGACCAAACAATTTAAGATTTGAGTACAATTATGAAATAGATAAAAAAAAAAAAAAAAAAAAAAGGGTAATGTTCTTGATAGATGAAATGAAGCAGAATACCTAGGTATGGAGGCTCGAGGCATGTGGATGTGGGCACGGAAAATTCAATGGAAACGTGGCCGATAAATGTTATTTGACTTTGTACATTGTTTTCGTCCACAAGTTTTTAGCAAATATCTATTTAAGCTAAGTTAGACTCCCCCCTATCAAGAATTAGAAATTTCACTTTGCTCTCCCTTCTATTTGGGAGACAAACTTCCCTCTCTCCCATTTCTTTTCTTGATTAAATATTCTTCTTCTCTTCTTCCTCGGCATTGTTGGGTTGGTTATACAATTTTTCACAAGCTGCCCTTACCAGCTAATTATATATGTATGTATACTTGTTTCTTCCTTCTCATGTTTAAGGAATTTGTAAAGATTAAACTTAATTATTTTTATTGTATAGCTTACTCTTTCTCTCTTCTTCTTTTTTTTTCCCTACAGATTTCTCAAATTTTCTTTATGCAACATGAAGAAAGTTTGCTCGCCTTACTTTGATCCTGATTTCGACAATCTCTCAGAAAGGATATACGGGCCCACGTAAGTAATTCTTTAATTAATTAATTAATTAATTAATTATGATTTTTTTATTTTCCAAATAATTATTTAATACTTTTTTATTTTAAAATAATTATTTTTTGATTATTTCTCTAAATTAAAGATTTATAGAAAATTTTTGTATTTATTTATAATATCTTTAAAAATGAATTAAGAGACCAAAATAGATTTTTTGTGAATAGAAGATTAATTAAAATAAATAAATAATAATATCATTAAAATAGAAAAAATATTTATTTATCTTAAAAAATTAAAAAATAATAATTAATTTAAAATAAATTCAAAATTAAAAAACAATAATTATTTTAAATGAAAAAGAGTAATACTTAATTAATATTAGATGTTTGAACTTTTCACCTTAATTAATTAATTTTTGAAACCACATTGCCTTGTAGTTGCAGGGTCTGTATTGACAAAGAAAGCATGGAAGATTGCACGGTGGTGAAGGTACGTCCATCATGCATGAATGCATGGATAATGGATTAAGCAAAAATTAGAAAGAGATAAGTAATTGGATTGATTACACATATATAATGTGTGATGATGCAGGTGGATGGTGTGAACAAGCAAGGTCTTCTCCTACGAGTGGTGCAGGTTTTGACAGAAATGAACCTCACCATTTCTAAAAGTTACATTTCCTCCGATGCCGGATGGTTCATGAA